CAAAAAATCAACGTTTTGTAAGCTTAATGTATATAATTGAAAACTTAAACAAAACTTTCTTTAAATTTATTTTGCTTGTTGGGTTATGTCGGGAAGCTGTCTTTAGTATAATGCGGCATTCCCTGTATTGTTTAAACCACAAAGAATTGTTTGATAAGACTTAAGAAGAATATAGACTTGCTAGTATCAGAACGGCTCGGTGCCAGTGAACAGAGATATGTACATAGAAATATTTAGTTTATTGACCAGCCAAAACAAAAAGAATCATTTTTTTTTTTAATTTCATGCAGGAAAAGCAAGAAATACCAGGAAATTTTAATCGAAATTTTAAATTTTTAAATTCGATTTCCTAGGAAAATTTGAGAATGTAGCCCTTGGCAAAAAAAATCTAAAAAACCAACGGCAATTTTTAGCGACTTTAAACTTATACTAAAACTTAAAGGGCTACAAAACTGCTTACTCAATATTTTTCTAAGAAGTCAAGTTGGAAAGTTGAAAATTTCGATGCAAATTTTTAGAATTTTCCCTAATTTTTTACGAAGCTAAACAATTGTTTCCTGATGTTTTTGCTGTTGAATGAACTAGATAATTTTTTATAAAACAAATAGGAAAAATTTGGTATGGGAAATATAAATAAATACTTATCAGGCTATACTTATTTTTGACGTTTACTATATATATATATATATGTATTTTTTTACAGAAAAATTTCTAAGTATAATTTGGACATTTGCCTGTCATTAATAGACTACTAGTGCCGTGCAGCGCCGGATGGCCGACTCGAAATTGTAATGGCTTTCGCCCAATCTGGCGCGCGGTTTCAAACATTTCCTGCCGGCAAACCGGCGACCTTAGAAATACAACATATAGCTATGTATCTTATTGGCAACGCTGCTTTAATTAATTTATCTTGCCTCCTGCATCAAAATATAACAAAAAGTTTCCATAAAAATAAGACTTATTTTTACTTTAAGCTGGCGACTTTCTAAGATAAGTACTACAAGCTTTAGAATCTTTTACCTATAATAAAACTACTGGTGCTAGAAAATGTACAGTTTAGAGAGTAGAATGGCACTATCCTATGGTGTACATTGCTGATAATTACTCACAATGGAGCACCAATATGTTGGAAATGAACGATGGTAGCACCTTTATCTAGGAACATTTCGCTATTTTTGAAGACACGTCAGATATACTATTACCTATAGGTTAACTACATAGTTTTTATCTTCATACATACATATGTACATACTGACTTGATGTGCATACAATTCGCGAAGATATCTAAAACCTCCGATGGAAATATTTTTATTTTACTAGTTGGCCCTTAGAACACATGTTACCTTAAATTTAGTTTTGAGTAAATTTTCTAGGTGTTAAAAGCAATAAAAACGTATCGTCACCGGTATTGATTTTTCAAATTTAAAATAAATGCTTTTACTCACCAATACTAATTATGCCTTCTTGTGTCAGTGGCTTACTTAAAATCACTTTAGGTACGTTTTTGTTTAGTTTTTCTTTAATTTACCACCTGAAGTTAATAACCTATCCGCAAAAAAGCGTTGTAACAAAAAGAATGTCAGCAGCGGAATTTGCTAGAGATGCGCAACAGTCTGCGAACTGTCAATCATATAAGTGCTAGAGAGTTGTGCAAATCGAAGTTTGCACACTTCAATGTATTTAAAAAATATTAATAAAGGCCATATAGGCAAAGCTATACTATTACTGCGTGATTCATATTTATTATTGATTAGCTTTTTGTATAACAATTAGTTTTGGGATCATGCTATTTTCGTGTGTGTTTGCTTTTCAATATATACATATATGAAACTAAGTTGTACAAATCGGAATTTGCACAACACTAAAGCCGATAAAATCGATAGCAATGTTTACAAGTGGTGTTTTTTGGTCTGACAACAAAAAGGAAGCACCTGCGAACAGCTGACGGGTGACAAACAGATGACAGCTGTTTCGTGGTCTTGTTTCTTTACAAATAATTCGATATCCGTTTCTTTACATTTGTAACTATTATCAAAGAACGTAGATAACAAGAAGGGACAACTCGTTATTATTTTAGCGAAAGTGAGCAACAGGAGCGTGCCTTCTCTTTTGCCCTAGTGCGTTTTTTGACTAGATGAAAAGAGAAGGCAGCCCCTGTTGCGCACTTTCGCCACAGTTATAACGAGTTGTCCCTTCTGGTTATCTACGTTCTTTGCTATTATTAGGGACTTTGGTTGAAGCGAGGCACTCTATCAATAAGTTAATATTTGGACGAGCGTCTCCTCCGATTTTTTATGTGCGCCTTGATGTTGTCACACAAAAGGACAAGACCTACAGTTATACGCTACCTCGGAACGGCGATTGTATTTGTATGTGAAGTTTTTTTTTTTTGTCGGATATACCTTGATATTAGTTGCGTTCCAGATGCTTCACGATTTGCAGGTTTTTACGGGAAGTCATTCCAGGTGACCACCTCCCATAAGGTTTATTAATGGAGAAAACAGCTGTTCCTGCAAATCGTGAATTTCGTGAATATCTTGAAGCATCTGGAACGCAACTAAAGTCATTGCCTGATGGCAATATAAGTGTTTATTTTCTTTGTTTTTGCGGCCCTTCGAAATGGTAGTACGCAGTTCTAACCGCTACAACCACAGCGGCCGCCAATTACCATCGCGAAGGCCATTGACAAATTGGGGATCTTGGTGAGATAGTTATCTTATTAACCATAATTTACTCAAACCAGCGATGAAGTTTTAGAATTTCAACTAATCACATTCCATTCACTTGTGTTTGAAGCTTGAAACATATTGGAGGCGACGGAGCTTGAACCACAGCTGTGTACTTATTTCAACACGTACGCTTACCCCATGATTCAATAAATAAATGTTTGCTCATTATTGACATTAGAGTTTTGACTCTAACTTAGTCAATGTTCACTACTATTTTACAGGAGTTATTTATTAATTAAGGAATTTCTTTCCGCCTGCAATGAAATCGAAATCAATCATAAACAAATTTATTGAATCGTTCGAGTTTTGTAGGGATCTCAAACACATACAGGCCGATTAACAACTTTTCCTATAATCGAAGCTGAGGTTAGGTTAGGTAAACGGGCTGTCTCCTTATATGAAGGCACACTTGGACTCGACTAAGCTGTCCATTGTGATGCCCTTAGAGGGGAGAGGAAAAAACGACGCAGGTAGACCGGAAGGGGAATGAGGGGGATGCTAAGGGAGAATGACGACACCTGTGGTTTTTGGTATGAGAAACACTCCGTGCTCGCAACGAAGCTCTTCAATCAACTGATGTCCATTCCCGATACCCAAGGTGCTTAAACCTTAGGGCTCTCAAAAGCAGCGCACCAGAGCAGCAGGTTTTGTAATGTGCAGTAAGGGTTATCAATGACATTCAGACTTACGGCATGATTACCAATCACACAGTGCCCAGTAAGCGCTCCCACCAAGAGTGAGAGATGTAGCTTGCTTAGTCTCAAGAGCTTCCTAGACTGCCTCCGGACCACCCGAGGGCAGAAGGATTTTGCCACCTTGCATTCCAAGGTCTTCGCCCAGCGCTCGCTGAGCTGACTTAACGCCCATCTGTCCAGAAGCAAACTACACGAGGTCAGGGGGTCCCCAGACCTTCCCTATCCGGAAGTAGTTTCTCGAGGGTTCCCAGTCTTTGCGAGCTTATCAGCCATGCAGTTACCAGCAATTTCGCCGTGACCGGGAAGCCAAATAAGCTTATTAGCGAAATAATCAGACGCGGCCGATAGGGAAGCCAAATACTCGCCCACCTTTTTCGAACGCACCGTCAGGGACGCAAGAGCCCTAATGGGTGCTTGGCTGTAAGAATAAATATTCACCTTCTTAAAAAATTTTACACTAGAGAGCAACCAATCCGAAGCCTCTTTTATCGCGGCCACCTCAGCCTGGAAAACGCTGTAGTGTTCCGGTAACCTAAATTTCTGGTTTGTGGAGAGTTCTTCGCAGAAGACACCTCCACCCACCTTGCCGTTCAGCTTCGACCCACTCGTAAATAAGTTTACAGGTCCTCGATTCCAGATACTGCACTCCTCCCAGTCTCCTCTCGCTGGAATGTGGGTGCAGTGGTCTGTCCGCGTCGGTAAGAACCCGAAGCCTTAGCACAACAGCAGCCCTGCCAGCTGATTCCAATTAAGGCGGCTCTTTGCACCTTCTCCAGCTGCTTGACGATGTTAGCCTTGTCAAGTGCGTTCCACCAGACGAGTACCCCATATATTAAAATTGGTTTGATAATAGTTTCATAAAGCCAGTGAACTACCTTCGGCGAGAGGCCCCAGCGTTTGCCAATGGCCCTTCTACATTAATACAATGCTTCTGTGGTCTTATTGACTCTTTCCTCTACGTTAGACTTCCAGGAAAGCTTAATGTCAAGGATCAAGCCCAAGCACTTCACCTTGTCAGAGAGCCTTAGAGGAAGACCACCCATTGAGGGAATCGAAACTTACCTTAAAATCTGATGTAAGGTAACAAAACTTCTTAAATATAATTTGATAAAATGCCGATTTAAATTTATGATTTGAGATTAAAATCATCATTAATTTATTAACACTCAATTAGCAATCAATATCTGCCTTATACATATATATGTACATTCAACTCTATTTATTTATGTACATACGAAACAACTTTTAAACATCTAAAATTTAGTATTTAATCAAATTATTTACGGGAAAAGAGCGTCTCAATCCCATACATTTTTCACGATCAATAAACAATGCATTCACTTTGCGCCGCAAATCAGCCTCGAGTGTTGAGCGAGTTTTTAGCAGATTCTGATGCTGAGCCTCGGCTTCTTGCAACTTATGATGAAGCTGTTTAACAGTATCCTGAAGATCCTGTACTTCCTGCACCAAACGCAACTGTGCCCAATCCCTGGATTTCACAAAAAGAAAATTGGGTGAGAATAAAGAGATGGTTCTATAGAAGAGCATTGTATGTAGTTAGCCCTAGCTCATTCTGACAAATTTAAAATAAAAAAAAATTAAATTATAACTTCCCACCAAGTTAAAACTTAAATATCGTCACTGTCAACGCAAAAAGCCTTATGTCACACTTTTGCGGAAATGCAAACCCCGTTATTTTTTCAAAATTTCATAGCCATATCTTAAGAAATACCAAATTTTTTGACATCTTTAGAACAGTTTTTTCTTTCTTATATTAAATTAAAACTTGTTTCTTCTATAAAATTTCAAATTTGTAAGTAAATATCATCACTTGGCGCGGAATAACTCATGTTTAGGCTATTACCAACACCACGCACCTAAATGCGACTATGCTCTGCTGTAAGTGTAAAAATTTCCTTTAATGTTAAAAAATAGGCCTAAAATGTATATACAGTCAGCGCCAAAAATATGAGAACCCTGACGTTTTGACGAGTTTATTTGTTTATGTTTTCGATACAAAATTTTACTTATTTTTTTTTTTTATAAAAATATGGTTCTTTCTGCTGCAAAAACTACAAGAATCAATTTTTTTTTAATTTCAAGTCAAGTATAACCTCAAGACATAGTATAACCTCATCTAACGCTTCAGGCCTAAAGAAATATAGCAGTTTCAGGGAAGTGTGAATAGGGGTAGCATCTAGCTGCAGCTCTCCTATATGTGTTTGTCTACTTCTGGCTAATTCCCAGTGCGTTCATTTGATTTGAGACCCTGCCAGTATACCTGTTTAGTGTGAGTTTTTTGGGTTGTAGCTTCCTACACGTTTTTAGCGTGCCGTATCCCACGCTAGTCTTTCTAATAGGCTCTTGCTACAAATTACATTGCCGCATATCCTATACTTAAAAGATGCTGAGGTAAATCCCTATAGGAGTGGAGATCATTTTTTGAATAGTATGTGAACCACCTGTGGGTGTGTTTGACCTAAATGTACTAACTAGAATTTTCTGGTTCCAAGCAGTTTTGCTGCTTTGTTCGGCCTGAAACATTCAATGACGTCCGATAAACTAGAAAATCAGACCTTCCACTTTAAAGATTGTTCTCTTGACCATGTCGCCTTTCTTTAATTGCGAGATGTGAACAAAGGTTTTTTTTTTCTCCCTCAGTATCAGGGAAACTTATTAGATATTCAAATCTCTTCATGTTTCATACTCCCAATGGGAAGCTTTCCTACTTTTACCCTACTTTGTGGTATCAGTACCAGTAGTATTTTTTAGGGAACTGCAGAGAGAGGGCTTATACCAAGTAGTCAATACTCTCTAACTGCAGTTCTCAAAAAATCTGTCCTGGCAACTCTGATGGCGTTTTTAACGTTGAAATACAACACTAAATTGTACCAAGAACGATATATAAAGATAACAGTAATGTAGTCAATGTCAGTTAAGCCCCAGATGGATTCTAACATCAGAAACTAGTTTTTCTGAAAATCACCCCCGATATAGAGGATTTAAATGTAGAAAATTAAGAGGACTTATTGGTGTTATACCTTCGTACAGAATAAGAACCCATCCTTAGAAATTCCCCTAGACTTGTTTCTACAGGTTCCTAGATCTATTTTTAAATTTAAGACAATAAATAGACCCGGTAAATTGAACACCCCCTATACCTTTCGTAATTCCATGCCTGAATACATTCAACGACGTCCGATAAACTATAAAGTGTAACCTACCACTTTTCATACAATAAGACTCTTTCAAAAATACTCACTTGCATAACTCCATACCCTCGCGGTGCGTACGCGCTTCCAGACGAGTTTGCGCTACCCTCAATGGATGCGCTTTGTCTTGTATGGCTTTTTGTAGCAAGAAAATATGTTTTTCCAAATCGAACAATTCCTGTTGCACCTTATACAAATGTAATTGTATCTTATTTTTCGATTCGTTCATTTCTTGTGCTCGTCGATCCAAAGCATTATTCGTATTACTCCAATGATCCCATACAGATTGAGCAACCGCATTGACGATCGTTTCGGCATCGCTGCGCAGTTGGGAGAGCTTGGCGCGCTCGGCCTGCGATCTGCGATAGGCAAATAAAGTGAATAATTTCATAACGGGAGTATAGTATTCATGTATGGAGTGCATGAGTTAACCTGCTAACACGATGGCTGCTCGCCTCAGCCCACGACTCTTGTGTACTGATGCTGGGGTCGTACTTTTCAATACCTCCATAGTAGGTAATACCGCGACTGTAGTTATTCAATTGGTGGCAAACGGTATCAATGCCCAGCGTTGACTCTTTGTGCGCAACGTCGTCCTCTAGCAGGTGCTGAGCGGCGCGGCAGTCGTTCGCTTGCTTTGTGATCTAAATTTTTTTATTGGATTTAGTCGCCTATTAGACCCATTGACAACTATTACATACACATCGTCGGTGATGCTGCAAAATGTTCTGTGTCCATTAGTACCCTTGATCTGTTACCTGTACCGGCATGCATCTGCAAATCGTTATACGCTCTTAAACTACTGATGGAACTGACTACCTATGGCTGATGAAGCGCCAGGCGTAATAATTAACATAGAACGTTTTGCAGTATCAGCGACGATGCTTATGCGTATATTATTTACCCTCTCCTGCAAATCCTTAAGTTTATCGCGCGAATTTCTTATATTATCTATTTCTAAGAGCAGCGCCTTTTCAGCCATATCGTGTACCTTTTCCACACCCGCACGCGCCTCACGATGGTACAAGCACTCTTGTGCTATATGTAATGGCGCCTCCAAGTCGAGCATGGCTTTGCCACAACGACGCTTCAATTCGGATATCGCCGATGACTCCGAAATCAATTTATCCAATTCGGTGCTCAATTCGTTGCGCCAAAATGTTACATCTGTTATACGTTCACCCAAACGCCGTCCGGCATCACGCTGCCCTTGCGAAGTCTTCTCATCGGTTTCGCGCATAAGACGCACTGCATCATTGCGTAGGCGCTCTGCCTGATTCCTATTCAAGTATGTATGTATGTATGTATATGTTTCTATGTAGTAAAGGCTGTGCGCTTGTTTTTCTTTTTTTAAGCCTACCTATTAATATTGGACTCTGCATATTTGGTTAAATTGTTATTGGCCCACTCGTTGCTGGTGTAGCGCGTGTAGAGCGCCGCACGGGCAGCGTGTTGTGGATTGCGTTCGAATCCCGTTACCAAGTTGGGAAAATTCATAGGTTCAGTGGTCATGCCAGTGGGTGAGAAGCATGGTTTCACCAGCTGATTGGTAACTGGTTGCTCAGCTAAGTTCTTGACCTCAATCATTTCGTAAGCCAATGTCGGTCGCCATGGATGCGGACGATTTGTCTACAATGAAGAATTGAATAAGCAAATTTCATGGCACCGCTACTTGCACTCTGGTGCTGAACGCTACCTGATAAGTTAGGCCAACGCGCGGTGGGACGGATGGACCCGTCACGGGCTCCATGCAGGGCGGTGCGCCTGCCGTACTCCATGGCTGCAATTGGGAATACATTACAGTTTGTTCAAATTTTGTAGACATTTTTATTAAATTTATTTTCTTCGATCTTTTAACTATCAAATATACAAACTACTTAATTTGCGCAAAGGATTAAAACCGTAAATTTTCAAAAAACAACAAAATTAAGCTAAAAAAACGACAAAACTTAAAAAACAACAAAGATTTGTTTCTTTTTCGAATACAAAAACTACAGTAGATGAGGTGTAAAATGTAAAAAAAAAAAGTTGTTTTGTATGGTGTGGGTGTGGCCATGTAACTGTACTTTTCATACGTATAAATAGCAGGTGGCGTTGAAGTGGGTGAAGTGGATGGAGTTTTGTGTACAAATATGAAAGTAATAATGGTATGCGATACATATGACTCTGCCAAATTCCTGTGATCTTTGCGCTCAATATACTCATGGACGGTGCTGTTCTCCGTGGGCCACTTATCCAGCAGATTGTCTTTGACTAGACGATGATCGAAGATGCGATTCTCGAGATATGATGTGGCGTGATATTTCATAATGGGTGTTTTTTGTTTTTTTTTGTTTTTTTTTTGAGTGATTGTTGAATTGGGTTTGATTAATGCTTAGAACTTTTATTGCACAAGAACTGCACTCACTATGGGAATACTCGATTTCAACATTAAATCTTTAACCGTTTCGGTTTTAGGATAAATACTAGGATAGCGTGATAGCAAATTTTTATCCTCGACGGCCCAGCAAAGCATAGCAAAACGCGAAGTAATAACGTTTACGTCAAAGGATGTGCTAACAGAACGAATTATCCTTCCGAAATGAAAAAATTTCGAATACAAACGAAATTTTTTGCGCTAATATGAGACAGAGTGGATGTAGCATGTATGTAAATAAAACTCTTATTGACAAAACCGTAATTACATGGAAACCAAGTCGTTTTTATGCATATTTTGCATGGTGTTAGAGATACTTGTAAACACACAAACGACTATTTGAATGTAAAGTCAAGTGGTTTTTTTTATGTTCTATATAAACAATCGTAGGTTATCGAACGCGTTTATGAACAAAATTTGGCAAGGTTAGTTTATATGTGCATACATATGTACATACGTAGGTATTTATGTAAATATGTATTTACTTGTAAGCTGCATGAAAATGTGGAATGTCCAAGCAAAATAAAAGGTAATAAAAAATGCACCAGCAAATACCGTGCGACAGTAAGTTTTATACCAAAAAAAGTCAATATGTCCGCGAAACTAAGTGCCAAATATAGTAAAACTGCGTTTTTAGTTTTCTTCTCTGACGTCGGGATTTCTTTTAGGACGCCTCTGAAATTTCAAAGTCATGGTTTATTCAAAAAATTATTTAAAAAATGCTATACAATGATGAACAACAATATGGGTGTCAAATAAAAGAGAAAATTCTGTAGAATTTAAAAACTTTAAATTTGTTTAGCACAAGTACGAACAGGTATTGACAATGCCCTTTTTAAATTTTACCCTTGAGTATCCTTGAAAATTTTCAATATTTATTTTTGGAAAAAATTATGTTGAACACTAATATATATAGGCAACTCATTCTCGATTTTCGCCTTTCAAACATTATTTGTTTAGCATAAAAAATATGAATTAATAGGGCATTTTCAATACCATTTGTCCTTTTGGACTAAGGTTTTTTTTTAAGTCTACAGAATTTTCTCTTTTATTTGGTATAAATATTCTACTGACTTTTATATATATATATATGTATATATTTTTTTTTAATTAATCATATCTTTCGCATAGACTGAAGCGCACTGTCAACGAACTGATGGGGCCTTACCAATGTGGCTTTAAGATGGCAAATCCACCATAGAGCAGGTATTCACAATACGCAAAATTTTGTATTTGTCGATTTCACACGATACTTTACAAGACCATACTAAGGCTACGTCTATTCTGCCGTCTCGGAATTACATAGATAAGCAAATCGAACGGGTCTGGTGGTGAACGAGGACGAAACGAAATATCTGCTGTCACCAGACAAACAGTCAGAGCATAAACGCAATGGTACCCACGACACTGTTAACAGTTACAAGTTTGAATAATCTAAGCTTGTGCTGTTATTCCAAAATAAGTTAATAGTAAAAAAATATTTTTAAAACAAATATGAATGAAATCGGACCATAAATATTGGTTTACCAAATATCCCGACTCCTGCGCCACCTATCGTCAAACATTTTTATGGATTTATTCCTTTTCATCTTATTAGTATACGTTCTAAATATGAACCAAATAGGTTTACAAATACGAGGTTTTCAAATATATCGACTCCTGTGCCACCTATCAGACTAATTTATCTTTCGTATTGCATTACCATCGGGTTCTGAGCTAAATCTGAAGTTTCAAGTCTCTATGCCATCGGGAAGTTGGCGGAGTTTCCGAGATAAAGATTCTGGTGTTATTTCACTAGACAGAGCAGGCCCTCTTCTCCTGCTCGAAGAAGCGCATATACCGTTTGGTTCCAGAGTCGCTCAGCATGGTCTATATCTAGTCATCAAGTGTGACTGGTCATGCAAGTAGTGTATCGATGAAGTTGGCTCTGTGGTACTTGTGCTGTCAGAGCGCTTTGCTGGATTTCCCAATATAGATGACCCGAACCGACTTTAAAAACAGCCGTGCACACTTCGGGAGATAGCAATCGTATTCGGCACTTAAATATTTTGAGGCACGTGCAATTTCTAGCCTACTACGGATTGTACTTAACGCATGACGTAACATACTCTTGCTGAAGGTGTCTTCGTTATTATCCATGAATTTGGAAAAAAATGTTTTTTGGAGAACGTAGCGTCTATCACAAGGAGATATGTTCTAGATCTACTCCTCTATGATCAGATCGAATGTCGGTTATACATCAGCGCTATGGTAGAGCAGACTCCCGATCAATAATGGGGGAAATGTGCTTGCTAAACTTCAAAGTACAGTCGCCGTTGGCTGAGCAGGAGCTCGCTTTATTTATCATCACTTTTCACCTTTATACGTGGGCATTCCTTAAAAGCTCGCTCTAGATTACACATTGTCGAATCTTTTCCAATGGCTCCAAAACTGACACGGGGTCAAAAATTTTATTCACAACCGAGGTATTTTCAATGCTCAAAGCCATAGATTGCGTGGTGGAAAATAGCTGTTTGGAGAGAGCACAGGTATTACCTGGTCCGCAGCCAGTTATAGCACTGTTACCTTCGGCCATCGAAGCCACCGCCAGAAAATTTGTGAATATTTCGTTCGTGGTTTGAGTGGATACAGATGGATAAAACTGATGCTGCCTCAATCTCAGAAGATCTTGCTAGATACATATTTGTTTTCATTAAGCACACGACACAACTTGAGCGGTTGCTGACTGGTAACTTCTCGTGGCGCATACACCCGGCTGTGCTCGGCATATATGGCACACCCATTTGTCCTTCCTGCCTTGAAGGTGATAAGATGTCTGAACACTTTTTGTGATTCTGTCACGCCTTTGCAGAGGTTAGGTATGAGGCCTTTGGCAGAGAAGTGTTGAGAGACGAGCAATGGAGGAGGAGTCATACTCTTAATCTGTTGCATCTGATTCTCCGCTATTGTGTTACCCTGAATTAGGAGGTAACAAGTCGAGATAAACGGTCTTAAGCGATTTCAATCACTGAGATTAAATACGATCCAATGTTAGTAACAAGAACTCATTATGGACTTATTTAATGGATGTTAGTCTCGTTGCCGTTAGGGTACTCTTTAGGTCTACAGCTCCATAATTAATTCTCAAAAGGTGTTGTCATACCTTTAAAGCTTTTGTAGCGCTAGATGTGATTTCCTAGACGGAGTTGAGCTGGAGGTTTTTTGAGCTAACTACACATAAGCATAGAATAGGCCGCCTACCTCCTTAATTTCAGCAAGGACAGGTAAAAGGTAAAATTAGTATCACCTTGAAAAATGGATGCACACAATGTCTACCTCTGTTCCAATCCCTTCGAAATTACGTCATTGGAACTATCAATTTTGAAAGGAAATTAGTGTAGAACTAGGAAATAAAGCAAGCTGGGGTGACTCCAATCTTAGGAAATGTTCCCAATTATGTTGATACGTAGACGGCTCGGGTATATACCGAAGATATTGGCAACGCCATCTTCGGACCCGAGTCCGGGTTGTCGGTTACAATCCAGTAAGTTTGTGTGCAAAGATCAATATCCAGAGAAATTGAGAGTAATTGGGATATGGTTGCCTTAAGTCATGAGTCAATCAGCACTCATCGCAGCTCTGGATACTGGGCTACAACTACAAAACGGAAATTCGGGGCAGGTGGCATTGCCATGAAGATTGCAGCAACAACACCAATGAGGGTAAGAGTTTTCCCCTTGTAAAAGGGGCGCTCACTAACGAAGAAGCGGTAAGAAGGAGCGAGCAGTGATCTGCCGAGAAGCAAACGACTGCGCAACGGAAGGCGAAAGAGCTACTGAGGGGGTATATTAGTAAATATTACATAAAGTACCAAGAGGTAATCGTATTTAAATAGATCATTACAGATTAAGAAGTCATCTCTCCGAATGCGATGCTATATCAAGGAAAAAGGAGAGAAACCTCAGGTAACCAAACAAAGTACATACACTCCTATTCACAAGCAAATTATATATCGTAATGTACCATTTAAAAGGTCTACTTTAGGGCTGAAAGTATCCTTATATTCGGATATCCGTTCGGATATTCGTGTGTACTGATACGATCTGGATAAAACTCCTAGTCCTAGTTTACATACGACGTAGAAGATCCATTTACAGGTCTATTCTGCACGTTACCGAAGATTTTGTAACCGGAAAATTGTATTACCAAAAATGTTACCAGTTATTGTCACCGCGATTCTAGGTACGTTGGTGATGCAGTTAAAATATTCAGCAATTCAGCTATGAAGAATTGTGCAAATACTGGCATTGCATATTTCACGGGGCAATAATTTGTTACCAGCTTATGAGATGGTAACAAAATTTACCGGTTACAAGAGTACACAAAATGCGTAAAGGGTTTAAAAATTGACAGGAACTTTATTTACCGGTTACAAACTTTTTATTACCAGCGCAGAATAAACCTGTTAAAAGAAATTTACCCTTGAAT